CCACCTCTGTTCTGTGCATCGTTTTCCTTAAGTATAACATTTTGTTTATAACAGTCGAGGTAATTTGGGCGATTGAAGATGAGCAGCCTTTCGGTTTCTGATGTCGATATCGATGCAGCTTTGCTGACGCATTTGGCCAACGTTTCGGCTTATCTTGATATTTATCACCACCTTGAAAATTCACTCAGTGAGTCTGCGTCTTTCTTGACGGTGTCAGGCGTGTTTAATTCTGCCTATCTTTGTTTATAAGCTTTGTGACTGTTTTTATGCTGTTATGGTGAAGTATTTCCCCACGCCCTCGATATTTTTTATCTAAGTAAAGGTTGATATGATAAGTATGTTCGTATCTTACTTTCACTTCAAATAAAATTGCACTCCTTATTACATTTAACAATATATTTTGCAGTGGTAAGCACCCTTAAACGCGAACATTTTTTCCTAACCGTCGCCCTAGAAACGGGTCGTATTTCGTTGGCGAAAGCGCGGTGCAATTCGCTTTGTGGCTCGGCTAAAATATCTCATATCTCCTACAATTCGGCTGAGATGGCGTCACATGGTGCCACTGCTCGCATTCGGGTGTATGATTCCTCAGTATTTGACTTGATAGATGAGTTGTCTCCTTTTGACAACTATGTAGGTAGTGCTGATGCTGTCAAGGCATCTACGGACTGCAAGGTCCCTGACCCAATCAACTGGTTCTGTGGGGTCTTGGTGCCCCCTCAATTGCGGCTGGCTCAGGTCAGTTTTCGGCGTAGTCTGCGACTGGTAGCCGAACTGGCTACTCGCCGGGCAGCGTTGCTTCAATCAGCTAAGCAGTTGTCAGACTTGATTGGAGCCCGCGATAGGTTAGACAATGAATCCTTGGTCCCGCTAATTCCTGCACCCACACCGTTTTCCCAGACTACACCTTAGTTCTCTTCTCCATATGTATTTGCCTGTGATTTGATGTATGAATTACGTGTATAAACGCATCTTAGATGCATCTCGCTTTCACTTATGATATGATCGATCGGTTGATTGTATTTTTCACTGTATTTGACTCAGCCACGATGGGGATGAAGAAACAGCCTTTGTGGTCACGTCGATGTTACTACTTTATCACACATTGGGCAGCTTATTCTAGGCACTATTCGCGATGTTCGATTCTGAAGTAACCTCAGTAAATGAACGTTCTTTATGCGGGTCGTGCCAGACTACTATTTGCGCTCCAATTGAGGATCTTGGGTGCATGGTGCTCTGAAGCAGCTATTTTTGGGTCGTTCTTGAGTCTAATAATCCTGTTCATCTTCCGCCTGTCTGCATATACTGATAATCCCAGTGCCATAAAAGTAACCATAGTGACAGGGGTACTCGATGTCAGATTTTCTGCACAGTATTCAGTCACTCCCCTGTTGGGGGAAACTCAGTCGTTCTCGTGATTGTCACTTTTGGCTTGCATATGTGCCGTCACTCTTAGCTGAGGAAGATTAACTTCCCTCTTTAGTGCTCCTCTATATCCAAAGTGTCTTGTAACCCGTACCACAAGAAGTACTGTGCAAATAGAGCATAAAATATCGCGCCTCAAATTTCGCAATCATTCGCCATGGCGAAATGGGTGGTCTTGTGCTTGTGTTACTTTGGTATGGGCTCGCTCTTTAAGATAGTTTTCTGGGGTGGAATGGCAGTCTGATTGGCATCAGTCAAGCTTCTCCACTAGTTTTAGACGATAAAAGCATCAAACGCGTTGTTTCATGCATGTTCAGTGTTCAGGATTGTTGAGCCTCGGTTCAGAAGTCATCTGAAGGAGCAAATCAGCCTCAAAATGTTTACATTATGCCGGCATAGATTCTGGTAACTTCGAGTAACCTTAAAGCGTTCCAGTCCACTCTCAAGTCAGGCCATCTGTTGTGAAGGAGTGATATGCAGCCGCCACATACAGTTCCATCAGTTAGATGGATTTGGTAGAGGCTTATGATTCCTGATTGATTAGGCATCAACCTGTTTGACCTCTAAAGCAAAACAAAGGTTGACAAGACTAATAGAGCCAGAACACCAAATATCGCTACTTAATTTTGAATCGCGTGCAGAGGCGGGGAATCCTACTTAGTGGGGTTGTGATGAAAGGAAGGTCGACTTGACTTCTGAGAGTCCATGTTCGGAAGTATTGAATGATACTTATCAGGTTTGCTTCTTTCTGTTTTTTGACGCCCTCCGTGAGGGCATTGTAGTAGTCTGGAATAAATAGCTTGTCTTGGTGCAGGAGCCGAAGAACTTTTCCACCTGGAGGGTAGTACAACCAATGCGCAAAACACTCCTACTTAGTGTTTTGGAGACTGAACAAGTTTCAGAATTAAATGAAACCCTCGAACTTCATCCATGTTGACCCAGCGAGTTCTATTGCTATGTACTATTGACGCCAATACCTTAGTCAAAATGTGAGTTGATAGTTTGCCGTCTTACGCATACCCCCATGAGATTATAGTTATTCAAACGCAGTCAAGCATGAGAGCATGGAACGATGAAGTCCACCATTAGTACCACCCCAAACAAGCTAAAACCTGTTATCACCATCACATGGCCTCAGTGCCCTTAAGTGTGTGGCCTTAGCAATAAAAGAGCAGGTCTTACCTTATGTCGTGGAGATCTATAGATTGCAAAACAAAAT